CATGGGAAATTGAGGCTCTCAAAGGTCAAATAACTTGCCCAAGGTCACACAGCAAACCCAGAAGGTGGGGTCTGATTTCCCTGACTTGAAAGTGGCACCTCCTGCCCCGACCTCTCCAGCTCCAGGGCACTGCAGCATCTCTTTATGTGCACGGGGTTCTCCGACCTGGCTTCTTGGAGCACCTGTGACAGCAGATTCATTGGCCCCCTCTTTCCTTCCCAGCACAAACTTAGCTGCTAACAATGAGTTGACCTGACGGTCCGAAGCCCTCGATGGCCAGCTCACCCATCTGCTCAGGAGAGCGCCCGGCATGGAGATGATGCTCAACAAGCATCTGTAGAATGAAAAGCTAAACGACCCCAATGCAGATGATGACAGCAGAGATTTGCAGAGACAGAGCCCTCTCCCTTGACTTGCCCTTACCCAGTTCTCACACTAGCCCCAGGGAGTGGTTGTGCCATGTGTCACAGATGGGAAGCTGAGACCCACGGACACATTACTAAGAGAAGTGAGGCTTGAACCCCGAGCTCGTCGGTGACGCCGTCCCCCTGGCCTGAGTGATCCCAGTTGGGGCATTTGTGGAACACCTAGGACCTTCTGGCCGAGGCTGAGCTGTGGTGGGCGAGGGAGGCTGGGCGTTCACGGAGCAGGGGAGACTCGGCCCTGCTTTCTGAGGCTGCAGTCTATTTGAGGAGGCCAGAGTTATGCATGCAGAACGTTTGGGAAGTGGTTCAAGACAGCAGCGAGCACAGTGCTGAATCGCACAGAATTAGGTGCCAACCACATTCCCTTCCCGAACTAATCTGAGTCTTTTAATACCAGATGGGGACCCTGAGAATAGATTTCCTATCAAACAGATGAAGAGCAGAGATGGAGGCACAGGAGGGCTGTGGCTGTTTTTACATCTCTCTAGTACAGCATGACACTTGGCCACAGCATCAGGAATAGTAGTCCCCCCCGACCCAGCACAGGGCCACTCTACCTGCTCCTACCATGGACCTTACGGTCATCATCTCCAGACCCCTCGAGCAGGTGGCTACTGACACAGTCCACAAGGAGATGAAAGAAAAGCTCAGAGAAAGCATTCATCAGGCCCAGCATCACACAGCAAAGGGGCAGGATCCAGGTTTGAATTCCCTTCCAGTAGCCTCCGGATTCCAGACTCCATCTGACACCACGCTACTTCTATTTGTGGTGGGACTGAGGTGCCATTGTCCACAAGGATGGGAAGAAACCTGGCCAAGGGAACAGGGATAGGAAGGAAGGAGAGGAGGAAGGGGAGGGGAAGGAGGGGATGGGGAAATGGATGGTGAGGGAGGGAGGGAGGGAGGGAGGAAGACAGGGAGAGAGAACGGCGGGAAAGGGTGGCTGGCACATTGCATACACACAGACAAGCTCCGGCATGTTTTACCAGGACCCCTGCAGTCCCCTGAGGGTCTCGGCCCTTCCTCCCTGAATGGCCTCAGGGGAGGCCTACATGGGCCTACTTGGAGGCTCATGTCACAGGGAAGGCCTCACTTCAGAGCCTTCTGGGGGCATAGCTTGGTCTTGGAGGGGTGTGTTCATCTGCTGGTGCTGCCTGAACAAAACGCCAGCGTCAGACAGCTCTCTCCCCATGATCCTGGAGAGCAGAAGTGCAGGATCCAGGTGCGGCAGGGCTGCTGTCTGCAAGGGCTCCCCTCTGGGCCTCCAATGGCCCCCACCTTCCATGTCCTCACAGGACCTGTCCTTGGTGCATGCAGGGGTGGGTGGCTCTTGCATCTCTTCTTGGAAGAACACACAGCCCCACCCTGATGGCCTCATTTGAGCTGAATAGACTCCCTTAGAGGCTGTGTCTCCAAATGCAGCTGCACGGGGGCTGGGGCTTCAACCCAACGGATGTTGTGGGGACACAAAACTTTAGTCCATACCAGGGTGGGTGAGGGAGGTGGGGCATGAGCTAGCTGGCCTTCCAGAGTAAAGGGTCCATGGCCACTGCCGCTCCGGTAGGATGATGGTGGCAAGGTCACCTTAGCGAGTACACCATGCCAGGGACAGCCTGACGTAGGGTTCTGCAGCCAGAGTGACTGGCAGAAGGGCCCCAGCACTCGCCTCTGGGGCTCCCTTTCTCCCCCATAGTTCTTTGCTCTGTGTTGCAAGTTCCTCAGAGGCAGAGATCGGGTCTGCCATCACCTGGATCCCCTCTCGTCCCTCACGCCCTTCCCCATGTATTCCTGCTTAGATGCATGCTTGGTGAGCACCTCCTTTGTGAGCAGGTGGTGGTGTGTACGGTACATGTGTGTGTCTGTCCATCCACAGGTAATATCTACATCCTAGGGCACCATCAGGACTACATGAGCTATTGTGCATGCAAACGTCTGCTCAATGGTAAATGTTCCAGAAACCTTTGTTAATGAATGAATGCATTGATCTTCACATGGGAGACGTGTTTCTCCTTCTAAGGGGCAAGGGTGATCTGGTCATCACTGATTTTCATTTACTAAGCGGGTCACTGAGCAAAGAAGCTGGTTCATTCATTCACCAGCAGAGACTGACCACAGTCCCCTAGAAACCAGGGGTTAAGCAGGCAGTACAGAGCTAGACCTGCACTGCTCTGCCTTCCAGGGACTCAGTCCCCAGCCAGGGAGAGAAAGGACAATGAGAAGCAGGGTGATGACAGCTCTGCTGGAAAACAAACCCTCCAGTGCCACGAGGACCCCTACGGGACACTGCCTTGCAGCCAGGAGGATCTCCTGGAGGGGATGACACTTGGAGACCTTCAAGGATGAGCAGCAACAGGTCACCAGGTGGCAGAAGGGACCAGGGATGATTTGCGCCAGGGTAATGGGCTGTGCAAGGGTCCTGTAGAAGACCCACGAGGGCACATCTGGGGAACAGTGAGAGGTGAGTGTGGCTGGTCCTGCTGGGAGCACCGGAGCCCAGGGGGCTTGACAGAAGCCAGGCCACAGAAGCCCAGCAGTGTGGCCTTCACAATGGTGACTTCACTTCATTCCCAGTGCTCAGAGGCAGCGACTGTGAAAAGTTCCAGAGGCACTTTGCCATGTCTGATCAGTAAAATGGAGTAATTTGTCAGTCCTCTGCCTCTTCAGGGACTGGAGAGGAAAGGAGAGAAGGGCATCCTGGCCACGCGTCACCACCCAAGTGTGTCCTGCGCACAGGCGTTCAGGTTGCCTGAAGATGAGCACCTTGGTGGGGGCACCTTGGTGCTTCTCCAATGATGTCCTGAGAGGTTGCCAAAGACCCCCAGGGGACAGCATCCTTTCAGCTAAGAGCCTTCCTCTGTTCCCTGAGCCCTGGCCATGCTGATGGGTCCTCTGGAGACCCCCAGCTTCAGCCCCACCCCACTCTTCTTCCCAGCAGGGAGTGGAGGAGGGAGGCCAGAGAGTGGCAGGGCCAGCTCCTATGTCCTGCTCCTTTCCAGGATTCCAGGGCTCTGATGCATAGATGGCCCTAAACTGGCAGGTAGGAGAGTGAGGGTTTTGCATTTGGTGGGATCCAGAGCAGGAGTCTCCAGCTCATTGGCCCTGCCAACAGGAGGGTCCACAGGAGGCTGCGACAAAGCCTGAACTCTGAGTTCTAATCCCACACCCTGACTGGGCAGCTTGGGTAAATGTCTTACCCTCCACACACTTCTACTTTCTTCCGTGGAGATAACAAGGCCTCACCTGGCTGACTCAGTGGGCTTGGATGGGCATCACTGGGTGATGTGGTCTCAACAGTGGTGGACATCCCAAAGGAAAGGCGCACATTAGAGGCACATCTATTGAGGCACACAGTAGGACTCCTGCTGGCATTGGAGAAAACATTAAGCACTGTAGGTGAAGAACACTACAATTGCCCCCGGGGGGCACGTCACAAACCATCTGCAGCCTTGAAGGGGCAGCTCCCAGGGGACCTATGCCTGTGTGACTAAATGCAGGGCCGCCATTTTGTACTGTGTGCATCTGCACGATGTGTGGGTCTTGGGTGAGGTCTTAGAGATGCATTATGGACTTGGTCTGTGTGCATAGCAGCAATGTCTGTGGGCTTCAGGGATCTGTGCCCATATGTTTGTGGAACTAAGTGTGCATGTTTATGAGGCCCTATGCTGGGGAACTTGGTGAACTGCAAACATGGTGCATACTTGTGTGGCTGAGAGAAAATGACCAGGGAGGGGTCCAGGAACAGCCTGGGAGACCAAGGATTCTTCTGCCAATCCCAAAGGGTCTTAGTGGGAACCCCGCCGCTCAGATGTGGGGAAGAGGAGCGCCTCAGCCTCACTCCTGTGCACCCAGATGTTGCCCTTTCAGAGAAAAAAAAATGGAGATGGAACTTGGGGGTTCTTGAAATCTGAAGTAAGGGCTCACAGCAGGTAGAGATGGCACACAGGCTCAAGCCCTGCCCCACAGCTGATGGCTGCTAAATTCTTGTGCCCACCAGCGAGAATAAGGCAAACCATGAAGGAGGGAGAGAGGAAGGGGAGACACAGAAGAAAACAGAAAGGAAAGGCCCCCCCGGAGCTCCTCTTCCCTCCCCAATTCCCAGTCTTTCATCTTTCGCAGGCGGCCCTGGCCTTGGAGGGTTCTGCCTGCCCCTCAAGCCCCCACTGAGCCGGGACCACCCAGTTGGATGTGCGCTTTTCACCCTCCCCGGGCGAGCAAGGCAGGCTGTTCCCCACCCCAGGAATCCAAGCAGTGGGTTACATATGATCTCCCCTGAAGTCAAACGAAATCAAAACGCATCACACACAGGGACACACACGCACACGCATGCACACGCACACGCGCACGTTCTCCCTGGGGGGCAATCTGCTGCCCCCTGAACCCCACCCATCAGCCGGTGCCTAGCCCCGGGTGCGTCTGCACCCGTCAACCGGGCGCCTGTCCCCGGTGTCCCGCGCACGCCCTGGCGTCTGGGGCGCGCAGGTGCGGGCAGCAGGGCCGGCGCCCCTCGTGCAGCCCCTGCCGCCCTCCGCGGTGACCCGCCGGCTGCGCCCCTGCCGCTCACACTCTCGCCCTGAGCGCAGCGGCGGGCGCGCGGCGGCTCCGCTAGCTCCGCGCGGATCCCGGCGCTGTTCATTCATGATCGGTACCCGGCCCCCGAGACCAGCCCGAGCGCCGGCAGGGAGCGCCCAGGGGCGGGCGGAGCGCGGCTCCCGCACCGCACGCGGCGCGGGCTCGGCAGCCTCGGCCGGGCAGGCGCCGGCCCCGTGTCCAGCGCCAGGCAGGCTCCGGGGCTCCGTCCTCGGCCCTTGGCCAGGGAACCACCGGCTGCGTCCTCGCTCCCGGGAGCCGTGGAGCTCACCCGAGCCGCCGGCCCTGTGAGTCAGTGCATGTGCGGGGCTGAGAGGGAAGCCAGCCGCCTCCCTGAGCCCCAGCCCCACGCTCGCTGCGTTCCAGGCTGCAGGCGAGCTGCCGGGGCTCCCGGCTTCCTCCTTTTTTTCTCCTCCAATTCGGAGTAGAGGAGACACACTGGTTTCCTTTCAGGGGAGGGGAGGGCAGGGCCTGGGGTCCCAAGTCGCACTCAAGTCTTCGCTGCCATGGGGGCCGTCATGGGCACCTTCTCATCTCTGCAAACCAAACAAAGGCGACCCTCTAAAGGTAAGCAGTCCTTCTTCCTTTTGTTCCCCTGGCTGGGTTTGGGGGTTCTGGGTGCTGAGCTGGGGTCGCCATCTGCCTCCCCGAGTCTGGGCCCCCATCTCCACAAGGAGCCCAAACAGGTTCTTGGATCCCAAGGAGTAAGGAGGGTTGGTGTGAGCACCCAGAGGAGGGAGCCAGAGTGGGTGCTGGACCCAGAGGCACCTGGACCCCTCTGGGGCACCAGGGGCCGACCCTCCTCCAGGGGAAATCACCAGGAGCAGATTCACAGGTGGAGGTGACTGGATTCTCCGATGAAAATGTTGGGAAGCTCTTCTGCTCCCATGACGGATGGCACGGGCGCCATCCAACAAGGGTGCTCACACTCACCCACTGCTCCCTTGACCATACCAGGTGCAAACCTGCTAGTCCCCCAACCAGGGAGAGGGGGCCCTGCTTGCCCATCCCCTCAAAAAAAAAAAAAAAAAAAAAAAAAAACCTCTGCAAGCCAAAAGGAATCAGCTGCTGCCAGGTGGTGAAATTCCCAGGGCTCCTGTCCTGGTGGCTCAGGAGTCAGTAGGAGCAAGGGCATCTCATGGGCGAGCTGCCAAGGTCTGCGACCACAGGGCACTGTCAAAGGGGGCTGAGAGGGGAGTTTCCGTTAAGGTTTAAGAGGCGTAATACACTGGAGTCCCTCCTGCCTACAGCCTGCAGCTGTGTGTTCCCAGCTAAGCTGGGCCATGTCACCAGTGACTTGTCAAGGGGTCCATGTGAAGTGGGGGCCATGGTGCCTGTGCGGGCCTCCTAGCCAGCAGTTGGAAAGTTGCTTGTTGGGATGTAGAACCTGGAAGCAATTAGGAAAAGAGAGCTATGGGTTTGGTTTTGATTAATGTTCACATGCTGTTGTGAGTAGTGGAAGGATTTTAAGGAACCTGACACTGAAACATTCAAGTTCTGCCTTTGGAGCCAGATCTGGTTACAGGTGGGGGATACGCGCATATCCCTTGTGCTTGCCAATGCTCAGAAGGGTACCAGGGTACTGGTGGCCCTGGGAGATAGTGAGTCTACTCTTAGGACTTGGGTTATCTCACCTTGATTGGAACCAAAGAGCTCCCCAGGAGTAGACTGTCCTTGAAGGCCCTGGGAAGAAGGGGTCCAGGATCCTGGTCCGGTCCCCAGAAAATATCAGGCTGGCTGAGCACCAAAGAAAGAGTTCTTGGGTGCAGACCCCAGGTGATGAGACTGGGACAGAATTTTCAGGCCAGGACACAAGAAGAGGCTTTGGCCCGTTCACAAGCTGAGTCCCACATCCTGGTGTCAGGGAGGGAGGGTTGCCCTTTGCTTAGTCCTAAGCAGGACAGGTCCATCTTCAAGCCTTGGCAGAGGACTTTGACCTGCAGAGCCCCGTCTCTCACAGATCCTGGGATGTTGCTTGATTGGGGACAATGTTTAGCACCAAAGCCAGGACCCCTTCCCCTATCTCACTACCATGAGGTCCCAGAGATCAGAAGACTGTGGAGACAGGAAATTTGGGGGGTTGTTTTAAAAGAACTTTCAACACCTGCACTCCCCTTAAGAGGAGTTAGGGGTCACAGAACAATCTCGGGCTCTAGAGTCCAGTGACGTCTGGTGTAACCAGCTTCATTGTGCCTTTCCTCTGTGACCTTCGGCAAGTCCCCTCACCTCCTGAAGCTCAGTTTTCTTATCCATCTAATAGGTGGGATGCTGCGTCACAGAGGTGAACTAGAGGTGTGGGAAGTGGAGGGAGAGAGGACCCTGCCTTGTACATTGTGTTGGCCACAGTCACCAGGGACTCATAGGAGATGGTTACAAGGATGAGAGGATAGAGTGACAGACAGACATGGAGCTAACTCCTTTAATAGGACTGGGGACAGCAAGAGCTCAGACATTACCATCCACCATTCCTTTGTGCTACCTGAAACTCCAGGTCACCCTGAATCAATTCCTGCAGGACTCTCAGAGGCCAAAGCTCTCTGCTTCTCTCTCCCAGAATCCCAAGAAAGAGAAGGGGGATACCAGCATTCATTGTGCCCCTACTGTGTGCCTGGCACACTGCTAGGTGTGTTATCTGCATGCTCACTTAACCCTTACAACAGAGATCCTAGTAGGTCCAGAGCCACTGCCCGAGTCCTGGGTGTTGGGCACTTCCTGCACAGAGCCCGAAACACTGGCTTGATGTGTCCAGGAGCGCAGCTGCTCGCCTCCCTGGGCAGCTGCCTGGCAGAGTCTTTTCTCACTCTCGCTTAGTGGAATGCTAATCAGAGGAGACCCTGACTTCCAGGCTACCTCCCTTGCAAGGGTCTTCTGCTGATTGGCATTCCACTGAGCAAGACAGAAGGGCTGGTGGCCAGGTCGCTGTCCCAGTCCATGCCTTGTTTTCTTTAAAAAGAGGAAGTTACAGTAGACATTTTCTTAGGCTCCACTTGGTTCTCAAATTCTACGGTTTGATTGCTGATGCTCTCTCTGGAGCTGCTGCTGTGATCTCTGCAAGGCTGGGGCTCAGATTAATTAGATGCAGTCAGAAGAGAGTGGTTGGGGTTTTCAACCCAGCTATCAGTCCCCCCGCTGGGTTCAAACCCAGGCTGCACCACTCACTAGTTGTGTGACTAAGCCTTGTTTTCCTCAATTGTAAAACAGGGACAGTAGTAGTTACTATCTTAAAATAGCTGTTGAGTTTGTGCATTTCAGGGATAATGCAAGTCAGACACTTAGCAGAGTGTCTGCTGCATAATAAGTGGTCAGCAAATTTTAGATTACTACTCAGTTTATGGCTGTGTTGTTTGGAGCTTCCATATGCCCAGAGTAAGGCCACGCTGGAAGGAGGCAGTACCTTTGAGAGTCTAAACAGCTCGAATCTGGAATGTTCTTCCAGCCCTGTCCAAGTAACTAAGACCAAAGTCCTCGGCTCTGAGACCCTGATCCCTTGCTTCAGTCTCCAGCTGGCCTCTGCTTCCTGCCTCAAAAAAAACTGAAAACTACACAGCCTGCTCAACTAAAGCCCTGAATGCTTTGAAAATATAATTTGGAAATACATACATGTCGTTAAAATATGCCAAGGACTCTGCATGATTAGTGCTGCAAAGGAGTGCACCTAGCCCAACTGGGAAGCTCAGGGAGAAGTCCCTGAAGGCAGAGAAATCTCAAGTAATTGAAGAGCTCTGCCTCTGAATAAAAACATCCAAGTTCACTCTCCAGCCTTCTCTCTGTTTGGGATCTTTGTGAGTCTTTAATTAAAAACTGGTAAAGCCGTGCTTCTGGGATTCGGCTTCTGCATCCAGTCCCAGGCAGTTTCGGACTCTTGACAGTTTTATTTGTGCTTCTCATACCAAGGACCCTGCTCCTGGGTTTGAATGGCTGAGCGAGTTGGGTTAGGGGGTTGGGACAACTAGAGGAGCGTCATGCAGGTACAATTGCTGGTTGTGGGGGTGGGAGGGCAGGAGAGTTTAGGGAAGCTGGCTCTAGGCCAAGACCACCTAGGCTGAGATTTTCCTATAAGCAAATACCCCTCGTTGCTGGGTTATGCCTCCAGGACTGAGTGAGGCATTCAGAACTCTGAGAAAGGGCTGAGCTTTGCTCGGGTCTCTAGAATGCCCAGGGGGCTGCTTTCTGGAAGGCCGTGTTGCAGGACAGACAAAGATATGGGGCTGGTCTCCTGGCTTCTAAATCATGGAGCCCCTTGGAGAATTTATGGAGGCAGAGTTTACCCCGGAGACTTCAGAGTGTATTGATGGAGCGGCACATTTAACCTGGAGGCATCCAGGAGACCGGCGAGAGGCAGGGTCACAGAGAAGCAGATCTTCTGCGGTCGCGCAATCCTGGCTCCAAAGGACCTTTGGCAAATCGCTTCACCTTGGAAATGCCAGTTTCTTCCTTTGTAAAGGGGAATACTGAGGGATAGACATGTTTGAGCATCCAGCTTTGCCCATCTCTGCCCCTTCGCCCAGTAACTCCATAGTAGTCTCTATCTCCCCGTCGGTCTGCTAATTAAAATTCTGCCCACACTCCACCACCTCACTGAGCAGTTTCCATACTCAGGAAGCCGTCTCTAAGCCCCAGGGAGAAGCGACTTCCCCTATCTGAATTCCTAAACTCTGTTAAGATCTGAGTTCTTATGACTCACAGGTCATGCTTGGAATTAGGTGACCCTGAGAGGTATTAAGCTCCTTCCCCATCACCAGAGTCTCGGCTTCTTGGGGCAGGAAACTGAATCATTTTTCACCATTTCCCACTCAGTTCTTTGCACACAGTAGGTACTCGGTAAATACTTCCCAGGGGAAATCATAAACAATGGTGACTCTCCATTATTTCCTAGAACTGCGGCCCCTGCTGGGAAAGTGAGCTTCCCCCTGAGATTTCAGTTCCCAGCCCTGGACTTGGAATGAATTGTGACTTGGTCTGCTGGCTTTGAATTGGCTTTGTCCATGAAATGTACCAAATCTGTTTACCATTTAGCAGGAAAGTGCTGAGAACAGTTTTCCTACCCCCAGCCCCCGATATCCACAAAAGTGTGAGGAACCCACACCGAGGGCCAGGCACATCTCTGGTCGCTCAATTCCACAAGAAACTCAGTGGAGCTCGAGATGAACAGCACAGAGATGGAAAAGGCTGGAAAATGTGTAGGATTTCCTGCCTAGAACTCGTGGGGCTTTTCAGTCTGGACCCTGGTGAAAGACTTTGTCTACCTGGAAGGGCTTTGCTCACTATCAGCTCTGTAAATGCCCAAGTGCAGGAGCTGATCTCACAAATGAGCAGGGGCTGAGCGGCTGCATGAATAAGGGGCTCAATAAATGAGCAAGTGAATGAGACAACTGATGAATAAGCAAAGAACGACAACAGGAATGATTGAACGGGGTAGGTGAGCACCCAGGGTGCGCGGCCGCGGACGAGTGGATGACTGGCAGGGTCCCAGAAAAGTGGTGACAAAGGACTCTTCGTGAAGAATCAATATTGATAACCATGCTCCCCAAGTCCCGCATCTAACCCTGTCTTAGTCCTGCCTTCTG